TTAGTTTTGCATATGACTGATGCACAGCGGCTGTAGCTTCGCCTTCTTTTGAAAATAGCACTGAGAGCAGTCTCATTTGAATTTAAAGCGACAGTCACCAAAAACGGCACAATTTAGATCAAAGATCTTTCAAATAGTTATAAATCATTATTTGTGGGCACCTTGGCCTTTGGGTGAGGGGTCACTTTAATCTTGAGAGTTCTTTGCCACAATGATGTATGGTATATAAAACACAAGATCCCTGTCCTTCATCCATTCATTTTCTTTTCGGCTTAGTCCTTTTATTAATCCGGGGTCGCAACAGCGGAATGAACCGCTAACTTATCCAGCACGTTTTTACACAGCGGATGCCCTTCCAGCCGCAACCCATCTCTGGGAAACATCCACACACACTCATTCACACTCATACACTACGGACAATTTAGCTCACCCAATTCACCTGTACTGCCTGTGTTTGGACTGTGGGGAAACCAGAGCACCGGGAGGTACATGTACAGAAGCTGATCTGGGATCAGTTTATCATACCGAGCGTGTTTGTCAGTCAGCACTTATACATGCATTTGCTGATTCAGAGATTGCATATGAAGGGTGATGACCGATGCACAGATTTAATGGAAATAATGTAAATGCAGACATTTTATATTAATTTGAGTGTGCTTTCAAGATTAAAAATATATGAGAAATAAGGGAAAATATTTAATGATAGGATGATAGCGGGATAGAATGATTAAATACGGAAAAATCTCAGCAAAAACGGGAGGGTTGACATGTATGAGGTTAACAGGATGTGTTTGTGGAAAAACAGTTTTGCAAGGGAACGAAAAAACTTTTAAAAATATAGTGTCTTATTACTCTGTTTTTTTTTTTTGTCTCCCACCCATTTTTTTCTCTCATCCAGTTTTTTTTTTGTTTTATTTTGTTTACCCATTTTCCCCCCACCAACTCATTATCTCATCCCTTCTGGGTCTCTGTAAATTAGATTACCACCACAAAATCTGTGATTTTTGTGATTTTTAAAATCACTATATGAATATGTAGTGGCTTGCTGTGTACATCAGAGGTTTTGAGATGCAGAGCGGAGTTGACAGTGATGAAGGGGTTCAAGTCTGGCATTTCAAAGAGCAGGTAAGACAAAAACAAAGGCCAAAAAACAAACAAACAAGTAAATAACAGGGTGAGAATGTGATAAAAACCTGAAAATGTGGCGGCTGCGAGAGCTTTTCTTTTCCTGCATTTCTTTTGAAAACACTGTTGGTTGGTTTTAGGGAAGGGAGTGATCGAGTTAATCGGTGCTTTTGAAAACACTAACGGTTGGGTTTATGGAAGGGGGTGGGGAATCAATCGGTCAGTCAGTCGACAGCCATTAGTGTTTTCAAAAGCACCCAATTTTCAGGTTTTACCACATTCTCACCCTGTTATTTACTATTTTATTTTTTGGCCTTTGTTTTTGTCTTACCTGCTCTTTGAAATGCTGGACTTTCACCCTTTCATCACTGTCAACTCCGCTCTGCATCTCAAAAACTCTGACATACAGTACACAGCAAGCCACTATGCATTCATATACAGCCACTGTATTGTCTATACTGCCTAAAGATTCGCAACAAAAGTTATTAATTTTGGCCTCAAGTACATCCAGTGTGACAAATTGTAAAGTCTACCTTTGAGCAAAGTTGTGGACTTAATTTCCATTAAATAGATGATTCAGATTTTCAGATTTGGATTTACCAAAAGAACAGGCACGAATGGCCATTGACTTGCAAAACTCAAAAAACATGCTTTCATTATAATATAGAAATAATATAGATGAATAATTTAAGCTGGAAGCTAGTAACACTTATTACAAGAACTCTTTTTATTAGTATTTCATATCATTTCGGAGCCAAGTTTATCTGTATTTGCTCCTGCAGGAGTACTCTAAATGTGCAATTTTTAAGTCTCTGGCCTACAGAGTTTGCAAAAGGACAACACTTATTCTCCCACTGAACACACTGCTGGTATAAATACACTCTCCGCTGGTTATAATACACTTTAGCAAACCCTGGATGAATAATTGCATTTATTGTGAATAGCAGAATCTCAGAACACTTTTCCATGCAGGATTTTGATTAAGGCTTGATTAGGGAATGCAAGAAAAATAAAGTCTGTTCAGCGTAAAATAAAAAATGAGCATATTTATATGCATTCAGTAGCTGGGCTTGTACAAGTTGGCTCTGTGTTCACTTATTGACTTGAGGATGGTGCTGACACTGTATGATGTGGGTCAGTCTGGTCACAAGGACTCTGTCAACGCTTAATGGTCAATCTAAACATCAATGAGGACATGGAGCTGAGGGCGTTTTCATGTTTAATGCCACTTCAAATGCTTACTTATGTTTTGAGATTAAAAGTCATTTGGTATATTGAAAGAAAGGTTGCTGTGGAAAAATGCTGAATCATCTATTTAATGGAAACTAAGTCCACAACTTTGCTCAAAGGTAGACTTTACAATTTGTCACACTGGATGTACTTGAGGCCAAAATTAATAATTTTTGTTGCAAATCTTTAGGAAGTATAGACAATACAGCGGCTGTATATGAATGCATAGTGGCTTGCTGTGTACTGTATGTCAGAGGTTTTGAGATGCAGAGCGAAGTTGACAGTGATAAAGGGGTTCAAGTCTGGCATTTCAAAGAGCAGGTAAGACAAAAACAAAGACCAAAAACTAAAATAAACAAATAAATAACAAGGTGAGAATGTGGTAAAACCTGAAAATGTGGCGGCTGCGAGAGCTTTTCTTTTTCTGGATTTCTTTTGAAAACACTGTTGGTTGGTTTTAGGGAAGGGAATGATCGAGTCAATCGGTGCTTTTAATAACACTAACGGTTGGGTTTATGGAAGGGGGTGGGTGGGGGAATCAATCGGTCAATCAGTCGACAGCGGCCTCTGGTGGATTTACCAGAAGAGCAGGCATGAATGGCAGAACCAGAACATCTGCTCAGGATACGGCGTGGTCCAGGATTATAGACACCTTGGGATAATGAAAAACAAACTAACATAGGCGTAGATGCCGGTTAAATTATAATGTCTTTTGGAAAGTGTTCCCGGCTCCGATTGCCCTAACTCAACCCAACAATTCCTTAGAGATAGTGAATGATGATTTTTAATAGGTGAACTATCCCTTTAACTGTGGGATGGAGCATGTGACTGAAGCCTGATTACATTGTAAAAACAAATGCTGGGTTCCACACAATTCCATCATGTTGTTCCATCACAAATCTCTTAAGATCACAAATCTCTTAACTTAATAATTTCTTACAAATTTAAGTAGCTTGAACAAAAAACAATTAAGTTGTCCCTCCAAAAAAACTAAGAATTGTGTTGTTTCGACTCATTTTAAATACATAGTCATTTTCAGAGTGTACTGACAGCTAAACCTATCTTTCACACTGTTAGCACACATCATTAAATGGCACCATGTTGAACATCCACCGTTATAACAGTAACAGGGCTCGAACAACTGCTCGTTCCACCTTCTGACATCAAACAAACTCTCACACACGCACACACAAACCTTCCATGAGGACAGCTCTGCGTGACCTACTGTCGCCTGACTGTCACAGAAGCGGAGCTGCTCTCTGTGTGAGATAAAGAACAGAGGTAAGCCTCCAGGGTACAGACTTGCTGTTTTCGCACTGTTTGTTCAAATCATTCTCACACTTGACCCCTAACCCACCGCATGCTAAAGGTCACTCTGTGTATGAACAAGAGTCGTGAGAGACTTCAGAGGAGACTTCAGCTACAGTTAATCACCCAGAGACTGAAATCATGCTAGAAACTATGGCTGGATGCTGCGATGGATGACAATAGATATGTCTTACCACGAGGTATAGATTTTGCCAGTGATGGGATTAATGGCGCTATAAATAAACAGCATAACTAACGGTGATACTTTTTTCAGTGATGAGTAATCAAATAAACAACTCGTTTCCCAATTACAACATTGTTGCCATTACTGACAATAAATGTGTGTTACTATAATTGAGAACACGCTCCCTCAGCCACCTCTCTTTCTCTGCGGTGTGTGTGTGTGTGTTGGGGCTGGGGCAGGACACATAAACAACCAGCGATGATTGGTGTGTCTGTGAACGTGGTGTAACTGAGAAGGTGATGATTGGCTTAGAGTACATTTCCATCGTTTGCCAATCAGAGGCAGAGTAGTGCATGTGTTCACACACAAGCACACGCATGTCAGTGGCACACACCAATGAGTCAGAACGATGACAAATGCAACACGTTCAAAGGTAGCGTTTGCAAACTGGAAATATAAGCACTACTTTTTTTTCCTCATTGAGGTGAAAGGCATAAATGTTTATGTACTCAATGGTAAAAAATGTCCAGGAAAAAAGATTATCCCTGCGTCTGTGACAAGTAATTCTAATCTAATGAAGCGCCTCAATTCGTCACATGCTCCCACAAAACTTGTGGCTACGCAGGTGATACAGTGAACTCCATAGGAGGACACAAAGCAAAGACATTAAAGCAAATAAATATAAATTTTTCTCCACCGCAAACACTTATTACTCAGACAGAATTAACTAAAAAATATCTAGGTATATAGTTGAGGACATACTGCCATTGTCTCTCACATTGTCCCACAACAACATTAAAATAGTGCATAGTGTATTCCAGAATATGTTTTATGCAGCAGATGCCCTTCCAGCTGCAACCCAGTATTGGCAAACATCCATACACACTCACTCACAGACACACTCATACACTACAGACAATTTTGCTTAACCAATTCACCTATAGCGAATGTCTTTAGACTGTGGGGGAAACCAGAACACCCGGAGGAAACCCACACCAACACCAAACTCCACACAGAAATGCCAACTGGCCCAGCCGGGACACAAACCAGCGACTTTCTTGCTGTGAGGTGACTGTGTTAATCACTGATCCAACATGCTGCCCAAATCTAGCATCTATCAGTTACATATATACACATTTAATAATGTCCTTACCTTTAAATTTACAGTGTCATTATATCCACTGCTTCTTGTGCTCGTCTCATACGATTTAAAGTAGATGGTGAGTACTGTACTGTAATTGGGAGTGACTTGGTCGTGGTCTTTTAACATCTGTGAACACACGCTGCCTCCTTGGCTTATTCAAACTCACTCATGGGCTGAGGGGTAAGCCAGAGTGGATTTAACATTGGCTTTAGGTGACCCAGATAAAGCTACATCCATCCAGCAGAGTCTGAGCCTCAGATAAAACCTCTTTTCCTCCGCGCACTTGATTAGCATGCCATTTGCCTGCGCCTTTTGACCTGCATCAGTTTCAAAGCCATAAAATGCACACGTTTCAAAGTCGACTTTTTTTTTTTACATTCTGAATCAATGATTGTGAACCCATCACTGCAGAGGTTGCACTGAAGAAGTCCCTTTTATCTTTTCATGGCTTCACACACACACACACACACACATATACACACCAGCATTTCCATCATACAATATCTGATAATATTCTTGCTATCAGTGAGCTGACAAAGAACATGCGTGCACACACACACACACACATTGGGGTATGCAGATACACACACCAATCCATGGACAATAGATACTTATTAAAGCTCTATCAAATTTGCTACACCTGGGTGAGCACCGGCTGTCAATCATCCCATTAATTCAGATTAAAGTGTGATCTTACTGTGTTTTTCTCTGCAGTATTCATTAAATTCACTCAAAGAAAACTAAAAAGCTTCACAATCTTTTACTAGGCCAGTTTACCGGGGTAGATGAGGATATTCATTAAATAAAAACAGCAATTTGGAGGCCTGGATATTAACATTTGTAAAAGCAGGCATCAAGTAAATCGGCTCATTAGGTCTTTACATGGTATTTGCTTCTAAGGGCACCTCACAGCAAGAAGCTTGCTGGTTCGAAACCTGGCTGAACCAGTTGGCATTTCTGTGTGGAGTTTGCATGTACTCCCCATGTTTGCGTGGGTTTCCTCTGGGTGCTCTGGTTTCCCCCACAGTCCAAATACATGTGCTATAGGTGAATTGAATAAGCTAAATTGGCTGTTGTGTATGTGTTTTAATGCAAGAATGCAAAAGTGATGGGTTGCAGGGAGAAGGGCATCCACTGCGTAAAACATATGCTGGATAAGTTGGCGGTTAATAAATGTACTAAGCTGAAAAGAAAATAAATGAATGAACAAAGATGATTTTCACCATTTATAAGGGGTGGTTGGTGACTGTATAGTCGCCTGAATCCAGAATATCAGTGTTTTTGTCTCACAAGTCACATTAAAGTCCTTGGTTGTATTGCTTACTGTTTTTTATTTAATTATTTATTTTTTGACGCAGAGGTCATGTGGGGATTTAATTTTAAGATTTTTCAAATTTTTAAAGAGTTTCTAAAGTAGATCAATACAAAAGTTGGTTTGTTGATGCCTTGTTGATGCGAGAGGAGAATGGCCAGACTGGTTCAAGCTGATAGAAAGGCAACAGTAACTTAAATAATCACTCGTAACAACAGAGGAATGCAAAAGAGCATCTCTGAATGCACAACTCATCAAACCTTGAGGCAGATGGGCTACAGCAGCAGAAGACCACACCGGATGCCACTCCTGTCAGCTAAGAACAGGAAACCGAGGCTACAATTCACACAGGCTCACCAAAATTCGAGAATAGAAGATTGGAAAACGTTGCCTGGTCTGATGAGTCTCAATTTCTGCTGAGACATTCGGATGGTAGGTCAGAATTTGGCATCAACCACATGAAAGCATGGATCCATCCTGCTTTGTATTAACAGTTCAGGCTGGTGGCGGTGGTGTATTGGTGTTGGGGATATTTTTATTGGCACACTTAGGGGCCATTAGTACCAATTGAGCATCGTGTTAATTCCACAGCCTACCTGAGTATTGTTGCTGACCATGTCCATCCCTTTAAGACCACAGTGTACCCATTGTCTGATGGCTACTTCCAGCAGGATAGCGCGCTATGTCATAAAGCACAAATCATCTCAGAAACACAAATTGAACAAATGAGTTAATAGAGCACCTTTGGGATGCTGTGAAATGGGACATTCGCATTATGGATGTGCAGCCGACAAATCTGCAGCAACTGCAAGATCCTATCATGTCAATATGGACCAAAACCTCTGAGGAATTTTACCAGTACCTTGCTGAATCAATGCCACAAAGGATTAAGGCAGTTGCGAAGGCAAAAACGGGGTCCAACCCAGTACTAGTAAGGTGTACCTAATAAAGTGGCCGGCTAGTGTATATTTACCCAAAAATGAACATATTATGATTTCATGTAAACAATTAATTTCCTTCTTTATTTCTTTTCAACCAGCAAAGCACAAACAGAATGGTATCCCCTCCAGAACTATAGATTGCTCAAATTTACCCATTTGTTTTTCATCTAATTCTTAAGTGGACTATATTAGTGGACTTGTGTAGGAAGGAAATAGTGAAATATAGTATAAGGGCGTTTTCGGATTCAGCCTTAATCTCTGTGTGCTGTTTATTATTGACTAGCAGTCAAAAGTGGTGTTTTTATGAGTTTGACCAGCCTGATCTCACAGGAAAATGTAAGTATTTTACGTTTGGCCAGTTTAGTGGCTTATTAGTACGAATTCGTACGAGTTCAGTCGCACGAAATTGTACGATTTTAAAAAGGAGGCGTGGCACCTAACCCCACCCCTAAACCCAACCGTTCCTGGGGGGATGAGCAAATCGTACTAAATTGTACGAATGAGATCGTACGAATTCATACAAATTAGCCACTAAATCAAAAAGTTACAAATTGCTGTGAGATTGTGTTGGTTTGACCAGATGAGAAATGGTCGTGCCCAACTGAGCCTGGATTTTTCTCTCAAATTTTTAATTTTTTTCCCTTCACTTTAGTCAATTGGTGAAGTTTTGTTCCTTGCCACTTTCTTGCTTGGTTTGGGATTTGTGGAGCTGCGCATCGATGGATTTGCTCTTCAGTGTTTGGACTTTCAACAATGACATGTAAACCACACTGAACTGAACAAAACTGAACTTCAACTCTGAAAACTGGACTGACATAGTTTCAGTTTAATGGACTTCTATGTTAAGCTGCTTTGACACAATATACATTGTAAAAGCGATATAGAAAAAAAGATCAATTGACTTGAAATGTTGCGGTCCAATGTAATTGGCTATTACATAATGACTGATGCACTAAATCTAGCATGAGTTTGAACATGGTTAGAGCTAAATAATAATAATAATAATAATACTAATTCCTTACATTTATATAGCGCTTTTCTGGGCACTCAAAGCGCTTTACACAGTGGGGGGAATCTCCTCATCTACTACCAGTGTGCAGCATCCACCTGGATGACGCGACGGCAGCCATTTTGCGCCAGACCGCACACCACACACCAGCTGATTGGTGGAGAGGAGACAGAGATGAAGCCAATTGAATATGGGGATGGTTAGGAGGCCATGATGGACAAAGGCCAGTGGGCAGATTTGGCCAGGATGCCGGGGTTAAACCCCTACTCATTTCGAAGGACATCCTGGGATTTTTAACGACCACAGAGAGTCGGGACCTCGGTTTAACGTCTCATCCGAAAGACGGCGCTCACTGAGCAGTATAGCATCCCCGTCACTATACTGGGGCATTAGGACCCACACAGACCGCAGGTTGGGCACCCCCTGCTGGCCTCACTAACACCACTTCCGGCAGCAACCTAGCTTTCCCATGTGGTCTACCATCCAGGTACTGACCGGGCGCAGCCCTGCTTAGCTTCAGTGGGCGACCATGTGAGAGTTGCAGAGAGCTAGCTGCCGGCAGAGCTAAACTCTGCATGGAAGTGAATCTCATTGGCTAAATTTGAGGATCTTACAAATAAATACTAGCATCTGGCTGAGCATGTGAATGATCATTCTGGGATCATAAGATTATAATCTCAAACGTTCACCGCAAAATTATTTTCAGCCGAAGGCACGTGTTTAATCTCTCAGGAGCTATGAAAATATTTATTTTATCTCCATGAGGAGCATTTGCCTTCCGAGTAGGGTTTCAGAGTGACTTCTGATGGTTCACGTGACACTGAAGACTTGACTAAGAGTAATAATGACAAATCAGATGCTGATATTTAAGAGTGTTTTAAGAAAAGCTAAACGTAAATATCAATCACATGAGAGATGAAGACTTCTATAAGTGGTTTAGAACAAAATGTTTTATTCTACGAATGGCAGGTGGCCCGTTCAATTGCTACCCAATTTATCTTTGAAACCTTGAGAGAATATAACACTTTGTTGCATAAGAAATGAATCATGGATGACAAATACGCCTGCGAATTGGGTATTTCTAAAATGCCATTGGTTATAGTTTTACAAAGCCTTTGAGTATGCTACAGTACTGCACATACACTACATGCCAATAGTTGTCTGCTTAAAGCCCAAGATCATTCAATATCAATATTTCAGGGAGATGAATATTTCCAGCCGTACAAGTATACAGTAGCTAGCTTGAATGAAGAAAGTTCAAAACAGTCTGTAGATTTTTGTATTATTCCTGGTAATCTTGCCAGCAGTTTTGCTTGTTTTATTAGAAAACTGGTAAATTTAGCTTCTCTCGAATGTCTGCTGTAATTCCTAATAACAATCCAGTAAATAATAACTATAATAATAACTATAATTCAGTTCCAAATAACTCAGAATTATAGTCAAGTCTTTCAAATAAATCAACAATAAATAGTTTGTACTGTTGCATAAGTGCAGTTTGGCATCCATGGTTGCTAAAATTTTGTTTTTTTTTATAATTTGTCACTGAGATGGTTTGATGGCAGGTTTAGTCACAGCAAACAGCAGGTGAAGGAATGCTGGCAGCAGGCTATATTACACTTTCATTTGAGCAGAATATATTAATGGAGATAAACACTATTAGATGTTTATCATCGTTTTAAGATAAAGCAGTGCTTTTTTTGCAGTTTAGAGAAAGAAAGAAAATGCATGTGAACGTTTGTATTGTATTGACATTTGGCCACACCAAGCATGTAAACTCAAGGAGGTGTATAAGGTATATGGCAACACCAGCACATGTCATCATATGTCTTTGCGAGCTCTTACTTCATGAAATCGATGATCGTGACTGCTGTAGTTATTCCAGTGGCATTATTTTTTGGTATTAAATAACAGAAGGCAACAATATCATGTTATCATACTAATAATCACACTCAGAAGAACCATAATACTAATATTAAATCATAAAAAAGGGGTAAACTAT